CAGATTCAAAATTATTGTTTCATTTTGTAGTCATATTAGTATCTAAGGCTTTTACAGAAGGGATATTTGATATCTCTTTTTATCATTCCATAAATCAGAAAATACTGTCAACAGCCCTAAAATATCCATTTTCGCCATGTTTTTAGGTATACAATGTTGTATAATTCAGGCTATGAATTATATATGAACAAACCCTTCTGTAAAAGCCTTCATAATATTGATAGGAATATAACTGGAAGGTTTGGTGTATCTACGTGCTACTGAAGTTGAAATTTCGAACTCAGAGTAGGAGAAAAAACTCATTTTGAGAAAACGACCTTTAAAGATTGCAGTGAGGCGCTAGCTAAACCCTCCTGTTCTTTGGATGACAGCTTGCGCATCAACGCACTTCGTGAAGGTATTTCATGTTCAGGGTCATTTTTTTTTTTATAACCTTGCTTCGTGCAAGTGACAATTGTTGTCGTCTTCTCTGTGAACGTTTTTTTCGCCGTTCTTTTGGCATTTTGAGATTTCAATTTCTAGCTGAAAGCTAACCAGGAAGTGTTTTAGCACACCACGTGACGCATCTGAACGAATCACGTTGTCAGAAATTGACACCAGCCAATGAGATTTCGTTTCTTGGTTTAAGACCCCTTTGTGCTTTCACGATTGGTTGCTGATACAAAGGAAATGACCATATTTGGATCCGATGAGATTGTGCAGGAGAGACACAGCTTTCCAGCGATACCTCTGTTGACATGGTGCATACAGCGGTCGCGGTACTTTATGTTACGTTAGAATGCTAACTTTTGGTGAATTTAGGAGAAATCTACAGACGCAAATAGACAAACTATAGTAAAATAAACACTTAAATGTGTATTTTGTACGTTTTCCTTCCAAAAGCCTGAAAGAAAACATGTTATGGAATCAAAATAGCACAAAATCTCCAAATTGACCAGTACTTGAAAAACGATGTTTTTGCCTGCCGTGTCTCGCCTTAAGATAAAAAACAAAATAGAAACACTACTTATAAACTATTTGATTATCTTAATTTACGTTCACAGAAAGTACACATTAAGCAGAATGCCCCTTGTCGATGTTATATTATTATATCATTATTATCATGATTTCAGATGGGTTAATATGTAAGCTGTACTTTAAAAGTATAGTAAATTCGAGTACAGTAGATCCAACTTTAACTGCTTCATACTATTTCTCTCCCTCTACATTTGATTTATAAGCACAAAAAGTGCTACAAAATTAAAAAGGGTGAAACAAAACAACAAAAACAATAAAAACTATTAAAACAACAGAATAAAAGCAGTGACATTTATGCCGGCATGGCATAATGTGGGGGTTTTACAAATCTAGTTAATGGCTATTCTAAAAAGTTGCGTTTTTAGGCCTTTTGTTGGTTTAATCTTAAATCACTGCATTTTATGTTATATCCCAACCATATATTTTCGTACGTAAAATCTAGTCACTTTTGTGGGTAATTAGAGGTAGTGAAAGTACAATATTTACTTCTCTGTAACGTGGCAAATTAGAAAGTATCATAGCATTGAAAAACCTCCAAACCGTTCTTATGTACATCAATTGAGTAAAGGTACCTACTGTATTACTTTACACCCCGTAGTGCACCAGTGCTTTGTTTATTAAACTAATCAGAGACGTGCCCTTAATGAATGAACTTGCAGCACTGCTGAGTGTTCAAATCACTTGAACGAGGGGGAAAGGTGTAAATGGTGAGGTGAGGCGTGAGGGAAGTGCGAGAGCTGTTTCGGTCATTAACACTTCCTCTGATGAATTGCACAAGTGTGAGGCACACAGATGGAGCGCTCAGAGGAAACCCCAAAACACACACACAAACACAGAAAACAAGCAGACCAGGTGCCCGGACACATGTTAAAGCCGTTTGTCCTCCACTCATTTGACCTCTGCTCCTGGAAGACAGGGGCCTGTCAGGGAGCACATGCCTATGCAACACCCGGGTGACCCCATGTCCTGCACACACTCGTGGCGATGCTGCAAGCTACACACACACACACACACACACACACACACACACACACACACACACACACACACACACACACACACACACACACACACACACACACACACACACAAACACACACACACACACACACACACACACACACACACACACACACACACACACACACACACACACACACACATACACACACACACACACACACACACACACCCACACACACACACACACACACACACACACACACACACACACACACACACACACACACACACACACACACACATGCTTATTAAAAAGCATTTTGAGCTAATCCTGCAAGATCACAACAGAGGATATTAGCCCATATTTAAAACGTGTTGATGTTTCTAGCAGTAGATTCCCAAAAATTGGCAAGAGAATTATAACAAAAAGGAAAACAGTGAAGGGACGGGACGAGAGGAATTTCACTGTCCAAGAGAAAAGTTTGACGGATCATAATATGCCTGCTTGATAGCGTAGTACAAGAGCGCTTAATCACTGTTAAACTGCCCTTGCTTTTCACATTACTCACTCTGTGTAATTCAATTTCAGCCACAGCTGGTTTCACTTTCAACTTTACAGCTGAGTTTAGTCACATCCCATAATCTGAGCTGATAAATAACTAGCTTTTTATTGAGTTTGCTGAGAAAACAGCGTCCAGTATAAACCCTCGCAGAGCCAAACGCGAGCGAGGCTGGAGGGCACAATGCTGGACGTGCAAACATCTGTGTGTGTGTGTGTGTGTGTGTGTGTGTGTGTGTGTGTGTGTGTGTGTGTGTGTGTGTGTGTGTGTGTGTGTGTGTGTGTTTGTGTGTGTGTGTGTGTGTGTGTGTGTGTGTGTGTATGCACTATTAATAGGAGATAACTGATGTAGCCTAGCTATATAATTGTGTGCGTAAATTAATCTAATCAAGGCAGAGTATATTTACACGTCCTGTCTCTCTGCCGGACTTCTCTCCTGTTTCAGGATGCCATTTCACATGATTGGAAACAAATGACTTCAGGGTCAGATTTCTCTCCCTTTACTGCCTGTCAATCATCGTCAAACGGCCCAGAACGTCCCAGCTTGTGTTATTCTTAAAAAGTCGAATCAGCACAGTTTCCATGTTATTCCTGCAGCCACTTTCATGAGGATTATGTCGACACATTATCAAGCAAATTGATGATGTGATGGGACGAACAGGTTAATCATCGACAGGCTGGTAAAAGGTTAACTCAACAGTGCTGTTCAACAAGTCAAACAAATGTGAAGAAAAGAAAGGTCAGTATGAAATATAAATAATCTTATAATGTAACATTTACAAACTTAATTTTTAAAACTTATGACAACATAGCCTACAAGTTATTAAATAAATAAATAGTGTATATAATTTCCTGCCGAGAGTTGTGTTTGAATATTGATACTTATTCATGGTTGTTAATCATGAGGGTTATATCCGGGATGCTAGTTAGTTTAGCCTAGCATAAAAGATATAAACTGGGTTAAAGAGCTAGCCTAAATCTGTCACAGACCTAGCACAGCCATGCTAGTTTCCCCGTCTTCAGTCTTTATGCTATGTTAAACTAATGGGCTGCTAGCTGTAGCTTCATATTTAGACTAGCTATAAATATTAGAGTTGTATCATTCTTCTTAACTAACTTTACGCAAAAAAGTGTCAAACCATTTTTTTTTACTAAAAAAGACTGTTGAAATTTGCGTTAAGCGAGCTACATTTGTTACAAAATGTTAGCATGTGTAGATGTTGTACTGCAACCATAGCATAGCTGTATTTACAAATTGTACACACATACACTACCAATGACAGGTACTGGGGTCTTTACGCCATGTTATGTGTGTTTCTGTGTCACTCTATGGAGAGCAGCAGGTGAGTTGAGCTCTCCTGGTATGAAAGCAAACAGCCTAATTGAAATATCAGGAATTAGTCAGGAGTTTAAAATGATTGTCCAATATAGCCGAACATGGAAATGACAGACAGTATCAAATAACCCGCACAGATTATGTGTGTACAGACAAAGGGCAGGCTGTTTGATAGCAGCGCACCTGACTGCCTGCTGAAACAAGGGGCCATCCCCTGCCTCCTGAGTTCCTCAATTAACTCCTTCCTGCTATTTCCATGTCCAGCGCGCATTAGCTCACTGCCATGCTCCGCCATGACAAGTAAATTGCTGTTTGGTTATGACCGTTTGTCGGGAAACAGGCCATTTCCCCCCGCTTTGCCTAAACCGCTGTTCCTCGCTATGCGTAAAGAGGAGGGAGGGAGGGATGGTGCAGGGTTTTGAGTCGGAGTTGAAGGCAGGAATTATCACATCAGCGGCTGAACGGGCGTGCCCCCTTTGGTATGGATAAAAAAACACACAGCGTTATGTTGGCCCACAGTAGGTTTTCATTCTCTGCTCCTCACTGGGATCTCTGAAAGCCTTCCACATGTCTTCACACAGCAGTATCGATTTACTGTTGATCCTGGAACAATGTTACAACCATGATTACAATAATGATGACATGGCTGCAAGGAGCCTTCTTCCAGCCTGCGCCTAATAAAGGCCTATATAGAATAACCCTTTCACCTCCATGCGTCCCTGATTAGTCCTGTTATTGGTAATAAGTACAGGAATGGAAACTGGCTGCCTGAAACCTGGCAGCTGTTGTTCTTCCCCCTAAAAATCACAGATCCTGATGAGCTCATATTATTAGTCAAGGGTGGCCAAGCCTGACACTGAGATTCAGTTTAGAGCTCACAAAACACAACGTGTTTCCATGTCCTAGAACAGTGCATAATAATAATTTTGCATAAGTTCTTGTTAAAAAAGCAGTGTGTTTCTGTTCTTCTTTGAAAAACGCTGAATATGCATGTGAGTACAACCGGAAAAAATTATCGAAAAGTGTTTCCCCTTTGTTCGTGCGGAAAAAGAAGATTTTTGAAAAGGCTGGTGTGTGTGATCAAAACAAATAAAATAAAATGTAAAATACTTTAATAGGCACATATGGTCAGCTTAACAGTCATTCATTCATATTTATATTACATACCTCAGGTTCTGACGCCCTTTAGTTACAGCATGTGAATTAGTTATGGGGGAAAAAAAGGGATCTGCCCTGCGGTATAAACAAACTGTCCCGAATAAAAATCTACACCCTGTCTACATTTGTGTTCACTATGGGCTTTTTGGCTGGTGTGAACAGTGGAGAGGAAGCAACATGATCTGCTTCAGGATCAGTTCTTGTGTAAGTCCAACACGGCATACAAAACTGTTTATTGCTCCTCTGAGTCCTTCTCGAATGGAGCATAAGGCCTCTCTGTGTTGTTGCAATAAGCTCTGGCTCCTAACACTCAATGGGCCGGAGCCTGAAAGTGCGGTCCAGCTGTCAGAGGCAGTGGTTGGTGGTCGGGTGCCACGGAGACGGGCGCAGCAGACAGTCTGTGGTGTCTTCGGCTAGTTTGGCGTGCCGGGAAAGAGCTGTGAGTTGGGGGTTCAGGGGGAAGCTGTAGCGGTAGAAACAGTAAGGGCCTGCAGTGTCAGAGAGATGAGGGAGCAGAGAAGGCCCGTGAGGACCAAAGGGGCCGTGGAGGGGGAAGAGGCTCCCCGGACATGGGTCCCTACATTGGAGAGGTTTCTTTGGCTGAAGCGCTGAGAAGAAAGGAAGGTCTGGTAGTGGGGGCAGGCCTCTCAGTCTGTCTACTCCCAGGGAGGAGAAGGCCCTACTGGGCAGCGGAGAGGCCGTGGAGGTCTTTCCGTAGAGAGGCAGAGTGAGGGTGTGGAGAGCGGCATCATGGCAGGAGCGCGCAGAGACGGAGAACGGGTGTAGGGGAGAAGAAGAGGAGAGGGGGAGAAGAGTCTTTATACTGCTGGTCGGCGACCCCGAGCTCCCTGTCGAGATAAAAAAAAAAAAACATGTCAGAAACTTGAATCACAAAGAGAAAAACGGTAGCAGAGTGTCACTAGGAAAGTGAACTGAGTATATGACTGTGATAAATGGGCATTTCCCTTAGATATCAGGACTGCTGAAATCCTACACATCCTCCGTCGTAGCCTGAAACCCACCTGCTTCGACTGTATCAAGGCCATTTAAACCCAATATCCCCCAAAAAGTACTTAAAAAGGATCGGCTTATTTGATTTCTTTCTGAGTGCATATCTTTATGGTTGATTGGACTTTTTGTAATGAATAGTCAGTTAAAGTGACTAATTCATCTCGTATCGTGCCTAACTCTAGAAAATCACAATTTATTGGGAATGAAATTAATCTGACGATGCTCTGGTTACAAATAAGACAAAATGTGTAGTTCACAACAATGAAGTATTTCATATACATTTGATTTTCTTTTCACAAAAAAAATAAAATGTAATGCCCTTTTAAAGTAAAGTAGGCGGCAGAGGTCACAAAAACAGAGGTTTATTCATCTCGTTTTGTGTTTAACAGTGGATCATAACTCCAATTAAAAATGTGACAAATTTTTGTTATGGATGTCAGTTACTGAAATGACCAAAATGTGGCCTGAACATATTAGGTAATGCTTGTTTTTAGCCTAGCCGATTGACATTTGCTACTGAAGCACTACACTACCGTCCAATTAGGAGAATTGTGTACAAAACAGCGCACCTAAGAGAGGTCATACAGCACTTAAATATTAGGCTGGTTCAATTGTACGGAGATTGGATGTAGACATAGACATATAGATACACCCAAACACTATGAGCCCCCCCCTCCCCCTATATAACACCTGGCGAAGGTAATAAGAGCTGCAGCACAGTACCTTGGAGCTGTATGGTGAACGGCTTGAAGTCCAAGCTGAGAGGGCCTCTCCAGGGATAGGACTCCAAAAGGCCATCCAACACTCCCCTGCACACACAAACACACATGTCCTGTAAAAGCACTGCAACGTGTTATTCCAGGTATTTAAATATTGCTTTTGAGAGGTGTGAAATTCAGCACTACACATTTCAGCTTCATTGGAAGGTTTTACATGGTTTCGAATGTCGGCGGTTAAACCTCCAATCCCTCTCGGGTCCACTTTCTGAATTAAAACAAAAAGTGTGGATGGTTGGTGAGGTTTTACCATACCTATTCCTTCCTGGATCTCTGAAGCCCTTGGCGAACGGGTTCCTGTCGATCTTCAGTTTTGTGATCTTGCCCGGGAAAGAAGAACATGGGTTAGAGTGGACGTGTCAGCCGCTGACGTGTTAAGCCAACAATGAGCTCAGCTTTTACAACAGCATGGAGAGTGGCAGGGCTCCCCCCTCTGGGACTGCATCTCCCAGCAGCACCCAGGGCGATCAGCCATGTCAAACAGGGTTCTTGGAGGTCGTACGGTTTTATTTGGTGCTTTAATGGGCTGCGGACTCCAGCAGTGGGCCCGGTCACAGCTTGTTATTGAGTTTCTGTAATAATACGTTCGCTGATCGTAAAATGAGCCCTGATGAAAAGAGCTGGCAGTCCCCGCGGACGCCTTGGTTACTGGAGGAGCCGCGGCCAACAGTGGGGTCAGATCCCCTGCACGGGAACACACGCCCGCTACGAGGAACTGAAAATCAAGACACTGCAACTCAAGATTTATCTGAGAGCACAGTGTTTTTGAGCTGTATTTGGCTCATTGAAGGACACTACAGCCACTTTTGGCATGGCCATGGCCATGTGTTGCTTTCTGGCACGTAAAAGGTGTAGGATGGGATTTTGTTGCATGGTTCTACAGAAACAGAAACAAATTCTGCTGTTTAAAACCAAACATTTCCAATATATCCCATTCTTCTCTGTTTCAGCTGCCGTTTCAAATCCATAGTGTGTGCTACATGTTTGGCTGTTCTCGTTTCAGTGGTTGCTACCTGTTGGTTCTGGTAGGCTGTGACTGTGGTGAACTCCGTTTCAGGGAAGGAGAAGCTGTGCACTCCCTCAACAGGCAGCGATTGGATCTGCGACAGGTCCATGCGAGGGTCGTGCCGGATGACGTGCACACGTGGCTTGTATTTGTGCATCGACTGGAGAATGATCTGGATTGAGAGATAAAATGACACTTGGATGAACCTCTATTATATCACTATCTCTAAGAGAAGCAACATTAAAATAGATATATAGGGCTGCAAGGTTCACTTCATTCTTATTTATTTCAAGATTATTTTGTATTAACTAATTAAACTTTTTTTATAAAATGTTTCAGACAATCGTGAAATATATCAAAGAATTGTAAAAAAATAACTGCAAAAATAATATGTCATTAAATTGCTCTTTTGGTCCAAGGATGTGTCCAAAAGATTTCCAATTTATTTCACACATTAGACAGAGAAAATAAATCATTGTTGAGAGTCTAGCATCCGAGAGCATTTTGGCTTGAACAATGTCACCATTAAGCTCTATAAAAAAGTAATCCAAATTATATTTAAAGTTAATATTGCAATAGAATTAGAATTTATTTTCACAACAAGCTATGTAAACTAAAACCACACAATGTTAACTTGCAAAAAAGCAGTAGATGGCTGTTACGTTCGTAAAACTAGTGGAGAATCTTTTTAATATGCTTTTCTTATAATAAAAAAATTAAATAATGTGCACATTAGTGCATTATACAAATATTTAACAGATTACTTTTTCATAAATCTCCTCATTCTCATTTTGCATATTGTAGATTTGTTTTATTATAATAAACAGCCAAAGTTGAATAAAGAAATTAACAGTTTGACCACTTTCAAGTTGGTAAGTAAAAAAATCTAAGGTTTTTCCTGGGGTTTACCTGAGATGTAAACACTGATGTAGGGTTTCAAGGGACAAAGTATTTTTTTCCAAAATACATAAAGCAGATACACTTCAAAATGTAATGCCAAACAGCTCTAAATATGTACTACAATCAACACAATATTAGTGTTTAAAAGTAGTGATGGTTCCAGAGAGGCGGTGCGGTGAACTGACCACAGCTTCACACGAGATTCTGAGGCTGTTTCTACACTTTCTACTCCTCCAGAAAAAAGAATCGCCTAAACACACCAATTCCAGTGTGGTTTTATAAACACGGGGATCAAGTAAAAATCCACCTACAGCCTCTCCAGTCACCACATCTGTCACATCTGCACATCAGTTAATCTTTACAGGAAGTTCTGCAGCGGAGAAGGATTTCCACTTCCTTTATCCCTAAAAACACACTGGCTCTCAATGTGGAACCAGCCAGTATGGCACTATGGTTAAATATGTGACAGCAACCAAATTACAAAAATAAAACCCATTTACATATAACAAGATCTCTCATAGATTAATGAAGAAATATAAAGTTATATCTGGGTTTTGAAAAAGTTAAATATCGATCCCAGGACATTTATCAATCAGAATATTTTATTTAGCCTGGGTGAAATTAGGTCTTGTGACAGTTTCCACAATACACAATGAAAAAATACATTTATAAATAAAGGATAACAAATAGAATTAAACAAATATTAAGTAAAAATGTGCAATTAAAAGAAAAAAAAGAGTAGAAGAAATGTAAATGGTCTGATCTACATGATTTATATCTGTTATTAGGTGATACTGCGCATGCTCAGATGGGTTACCTACATGCCCCTTATCGTCCATCTCGTTGTTGGTGAGTTTGACCCGGTCGAAGCTGATCACCTGACGCATCCACGTCTCTCCCGCGCACGGGGAGTCCGGGTGCACGTAGAGCCGCGGGGAGATGCAGGAGTGGTCCGTGTTTCCCGCCACCATCCACTGCGAGCTGTGGTACACATACCTGCCCGGATACATGCGTGTTAGTACGTAAACCAGAGACACTGAGGGAGTTCAGGTAATAAAATACACACCTGTAGCGTTTGGAATCCACAGGCATGACGTCCATCGCGATGTAGTACTGCTGGCCCGGGTCCAGGTTGCGCACTTTGACGCGCACAGAGGGGAACATTCTCCTAACGCGAGAAGACGAAATCATTTTTTTAATTTATTGAATATTTTCTACTCAAGAGGATATTTAGCCGTCCTGTATTTTACATTATCACGCAAACAGATCAGATACTTTAGGAAAAGGACCTCACGGCCAAGTTCAGAGGAGAGCTCAGGGTCCTCGAGGGGCCATGAGGGCACATTCACTGCGGAGATTTATAGCGCGTGTTCCCCGTAATAGAATAAACGGAACTTAGATTTCAGCAGGTAGTTATGTCCCTATAATTCATACCTGGAAGAGGTAAAAAAAAAAAAAAACCTATCAAATACATTTCTTTAAACTGAAACATAACATAACATCTGTCACGGTTGCATAATATAATTGATAGTTATGGATCCTTATTTAAAAAATAAATAAATGTGTCCATGACGACGAGAAATGTGCGTTTAATTTAATCCAATACAATTTAATAATTCAAAAAAACCTATAAATATACATCACATGGTATATAATGTGCACTATTTTTTTAAATTCTAAAATATTAGCTTTTTATAGACCATGAGATTATAAATTGCTTGTATTTATACAAATGAAAACGGTTGCAGGATAACATAGCTATAATACCAGAACTGGTGATAAGCCTTTATTTCTTTTTGTATTAAGATGCTGACTTCTGATTGGCTGTTCACAGCCGTTCTCCATGTGACCGCAGAAAAGTTCTTGTAAATGTTATAATATGCATCTTATCACTGATAATGACCTATCATGCTTTTATTGCATGTATAACTGACTTGAACACGGAAACTAAAATGAAATAAGATAATACGTTTGATATTAAAATACTTGTATTTAAATAAGGTCATCTCCGTTTAAAAAGTAAGGGCCTGGAAGCCAGATCTTATTGTATGTTATTAAAGTTAATTTGGATTCGTTTTCGTATCATATTGAACGAAACTATCGAACATTTTAATAGTAAAAGACCCAACACTAAATCTCATTAAATTATCTATTACTTTTGTGTAGTTTTTACATTTAAAAGTGTAAATAAATAGAGAAAATGCCTGTTCCCACGACCGCGGGTATATAGGCCAAATACGTTTGAAAGTGTTGCAGGATAGAATAAAGGCACCGGAGGCCACTGTTTACAGCAAAACACCATACTACTGGAGCTCTTTAAAGTGCTCTTTCTCATCCAGATGTTGTACCTGCCAGCTTTGGTGATGATCATCTCGGTTCCGATCTCATAGAACCTCTTCCACAGCTCGGAGCCCTGCAGATCCACCCGGACCTCTCTGTCCGGGAGGAGGTCGCTCTCCTTGGGCTTGCTCTCCTCTACACCGGGGTCAGCCTCCTCGGCCCCGGACCTGACAGGCTGTCTCTCTGGGACACAGGAAGTGTCCTCTGCCCTCCTCGGAGTTGATGAACCGGCTTTCTTCATCTGACTGACAGGATATTCGTTCAGGCCTATACAAAGGGGCAAAGACTATGGTGAGTGAGGAGAGAAACAAATCCTATTGAGGCTGTGTTTTCCAAAATCATTTAGAAGTCAACTTAAAAGTTAACAGTTTTCCTATTTATTAGAAAAAGCTGCAACTAATAGTCCTTTAAAGTGACAGACCGTGGCTTAATTTGACAAGAAGAAGAAAGAAGAGTATTAGCAAAAAATGGCCCCTCTCGATAAACAATGAATTTGTAGCTGATACAATTAAAGAATAGGCCTACTTGTATATATACAATTAAATTGTCAAAGAGTAATCAACGGATGTGTCTGAAGCAAAGTAACAAAGATTGTGTTATCGTTTCATGCTGTGCGTAAAATGCGTAAAGGTGTTCGAAAAATCCGGCAGTCCTTGGCTCACCGGTGAAGGTGCTCGTCTCGCTGCCGGTGTCTGCAGCTGAACTTGACTCATCCGACACTTTCATCCTCTTACAGGGTTTCCCGACCAGCGCCTCCACAGAGAACGCGTGAGCCCGGGAACTCAGACCCTGCATCTTGGCGAAAGATCCCGTCTTTCTGCGACTCGTATATCCGTCTGATCTGGGATTGTGTTCCGCACAAGTTTCAGAGTCCCAGCGCATTCAGGACGGGGTAGAACAGGCAGCAGCAGCACCTCAGGGAGCCCCTCTTCTCTCACGGCGGCTCCGTGACGCTGCGTAATTGATCCGGTGCCTTCCCCTGTGTTCTCCGAGACGCGCGCCTTCATCCAAAATCCTTGATTATTGGAACGCCTCTCCTCCTCACTACAATATTTCCCCTTCTCCCCCCTTAATCCGTTTCTGTGTCTCCCCTTTCCTCTCTGCCTCACAGAGGGCTTGTTCCTCTGGTTCCCCTCTGCGCGTCACAGAGAGGGAGGGAAGAGCGCAGCGTGCACTCTTCATGGGCCTGCGCTACAAAAAACCTACATCCTAATGCTTATCCCGGCCTAAAATAATACTGTTGTCTCAACATTAGAGTTAAATGTTAGTGAAAAAGTGAAAAAATAAACAAATGTCCTCTTAAAATAAATCACTTTTTGGAAACGTCACTACCTTGAAACACCTGTTGATCACTTTATCAGTATCAACAGGTGGCAAATAAAGTGAATGTGCAACGTTAAAGTTAAATTGTCCAATCAATTATTATGTCCCCACAGTTTAAGAAAAAAACGACACTCAGTAAATAGCCTACTTGACTTTTTTTCAAGTGTTCATTGGTGTCAGTGGCATTGGAGCTTCCAATACAAGCAGCAGCATCTTTACGCACGGTGCCACTGGTAAAACAATTATGGCTGAATGGTAAAAATTGGGCTTTTTTCTTTAGATTTATTGAATTATGTAGCCTAATATAATGCAGATTTAGTGGATTCCAAATTTGAAATGTGACAGATGAAAAATAGCCATATATATTATTGACGAAACAGCATAAACAGAGGATCTAAGCTTCCAATGTGATCAAAATGTCAGTTTTTTCTGATTGACTTCCGTGTTGTCCATATTGCTTCCTTTAAACATCCGATGGATAAATAGATTGAGCATTGAGCAGCGCCGGAGGGGGACCCGAGGCGCACATATTTAAGTAGGCTATTTTAATTCAAACCATCTGGAAGGTGAAATATCTCCCTGAAACTGGCTGCATTTCTGTTGAAGCTAACATTTTTTATATTAATTTGAAGGCTTTTCCTAAAGTGGTCTCTTGTCTCCCGTTCCTCCGGTATAAAAGTGTTTTCTTTTTTTCTTTTTGCGGTTCCCGGTGAGAGTTTGGTCTGGTTCTCATAAGGGCGGAGATCAGATGGAGTTCGGCGCACTGGGGGGAAAACTAGGCCGTAATGACAGCTCGGGATTATTACATTACTGCTCGACATGAAATAGATCCGCTTTACACAAATAAAAGTCAGCGAAGGCTCTATTTAAAATGTTTTTTAAGCACATGATATAATTGCTGTGAGGAGAAAACAAATGAGGGCTGTGTTTACGACACGGTTGGTTTGCTTGCTGATGGAAATCTCTGACAACAGCCGGGAAATGGAGAACTATGACCAACCGGAATCGCATGCTCTCTGTCATCATAACCTGTGACTGTGGCCTGGATTTATGTTTATTATTTTCCTAACTTGTCGTTTTTCTCCCAAAACCGGAACAAAAAACTGCTAAACACGCGGAGGAAAGAGTGCAACAGAAATAACTGTCCGTGCGCACAGGCCCGAATAAAAAGACTTCGATAGAAATAGCTGGTGACGTGTGTTTCCACAAATCTGAGAGATTATTTTTCCATGTTGTCTTCAACAGTCAACTCATAAATCTTCGTCACGGGATTATGGGATGTCAACCCAGTGATGGCTGGTGTGCAGGCAAGTGACACCTGGCGCTGCTGCACACAACAGGAAACTGCTGCTGGATTGTTTTTATGATGCTTAATCCAGCGCAAATCTACAAGTGTCCCGTTCCGGGTATGTTTGGCACACGTGTTTCCTCTCATTAGGCACAACAGCGGAAACGAGAGATTCAAATCCAATTTAGCCCAAACCTCAGGTTCCCATTAATGCGGAAGTTTGATGATCAGTCTGCAATTAGCCTTTCCGATCATTTTGCATCTTCAGGGCCGCTAGCATGCTGTTGATTTGCGTGTCCATGGACTAATTATTAATCATGTGTGGGTAATTGGGTTGCAATGAAACGTTGGGGCCTTCATGTGCAACCACAGAGTGCAACACATTCATCGTTAAGGAATATAACACTGTGGTTGGATAAAGGGGAATGTTGCTGTTTAAAAATATGGCTTGACTAAAATGTATATCGCATTTTCAATACAAATTCTTATGACTTGATGACTGACACATTTGAGTGTGTGTGGCTGGTTCCCAAAGAGTAATCAGGTCCAGCCGAACACTCATTCATGGTAGGCGTCTGTCTGTACTGTATGGGTGCACATGCTCACAAGTGTGTGTGTGTGTGTGTGTGTGTGTGTGTGTGTGTGTGTGTGTGTGTGTGTGTGTGTGTGTGTGTGTGTGTGTGTGTGTGTGTGTGTGTGTGTGTGTGTGTGTGTGTGTGTGTGTGTGTGTGTGTGTGTGTGTGTGTGTGTGTGTGTGTGTGTGTGTGTGTGTGTGTGTGTGTGTGTGTGTGTGTGTGTGTGTGTGTGTGTGTGTGTGTGTGTGTGTGTGTGTGTGTGTGTGTGTGTGTGTGTATAAACAGGCCTGTCTGTCTGTTGCTGAGTGGATGTGACGGGGCCTCCTGATGGTTTGTTTTAAGTTGAATCCTGATGCCGAGCAGTGTTTGTGTGTGTGTGTGTGTGTGTGTGTGCTCAACAGTTATTCTGGGCATGGTCTGCAGAAGCGGATGCCCACGCACTGCCAAACGTCAAACTTGCACCACCCGTCCGCCGTGACACGTTTGAGTGTTTGAGTACAGAACGCTGTAAACACTTAGTGTGTTGTGGCACTAATGGGATGTGAGTTATCCGTATTGGACATGAACAGAGGCTCACCTGGAGAACACACTCTTACATACTGGGACAATGACGTGCTAATTGTTTCCAACACCGGTTACATAAATGCACTCTTGGATTTGAAGTAGCTTCATGGCTGTTTTGTTTTTACTCCTGTTGACTGCTTTTGTTTCTGCTTTCACTGTGAGCTATAAGAAAGGACAACAACATGAGTTTTACAACATGAGTGATTACAGAGTGACAAATTCCAGCGACCCTGACATGTCATCAGCTCCATGGTGTTACATCTGCTCCTCATAACCTCTTTTGTGTCCCTCTCTCGGGGGGTACAGCTGTCTGAGGTCTGTCGAAGTCCCCACAGGGATCCTCGCTGTGCAGAAACAAAAGTCTCCTCATGGCTTCTGTAGCAGCTCTAACACTGATCATCACATCCTTCTCCGCCTATGGGAGGTCAACGACTGTGTCTGCCCACACAGAACTCTTGTCCCTTGATTTGCTGTTGAAAAGCATCCAGATTATGGCTGCTGAGGACTAAAGACAAACAGAAATCACCTTATGAACCACACAACTAACACAATGACACATTCAGGTTAGAGGAACATTTTCTTACCTCTTGTCTCAGATTCTGCAAATCTGCTTAGTCACCACCCTTCATTATCAAGTAAACAGTGAAACTACTTGAATAGTATCATTCATGCAGATCATTGTGGTTGAAAGTGCTTCACAGTTGACTGGAATAGTAAACAAATGAAGATGAATGTGCAGAAACTAGATACGATTAAAATATGATAATGTTATTTTTAACAAGTAATGCCATAGCTATGTCTCACAGTTTTTAATGTAATAAAAACACGTATCCAGTCCGTGAAATTCAGATCTGCTGCAAAATGTAGCCCATGCTACACTCTTTCAAAAAGTGTTGAGTTTTTAGGGCCAGTTGATTTTACAAACAATCCCAAAACACTGTTTGGTGCCTGGGAAAATACCCAAAGCAACATTAATTTCTTCCTACTGAACAATTTTCTGTTTATGATACATCTTCACCTATCTCTAGTATCTAAGCTTGTCCAAAAACTGTAAAAAAAAAAAACATACTTAACTCACACTGTTGCAATGGGTAACGTACTTTACATGGGCACCGTACATTGACTGCTGCCATAGATACTTGAGCATCAAACTTGCAGCTTTTCTTAGAAACGTATGTGTCCAGCTGGGATTCACAGGATGTGTTACCTGTAAGAAAAAATATTTAATATTGCCAGGCTTGTCCTTTAAACTTATCAAGAATTAGCTTCTCTAAGACCCTCCAAAATGTTGTGTAACATGTGCAAAAGAGGTACTACAACTTTGTAATCTGTCCTCCCTTTCCTCTGTGATCACCTCTCCTCCCTGGGCTGGCAGTGTCTGAGGAGCCTGCCCACAGTGTAGGAAGATTTAATGGCTCATGTGCCACGGCATCCAGCCTTCACTGGCTCCGGCTGCCTCCGCCCGGCCCGGCTGAGTACCGGGGGAGGAGGAAAACAGGAGAGGAGAGTAACATCTCTGCCAAGTCTCCTCTCACCACAAGTGTGTTGTGAATTATCTCCCCCCCCCTTCCTTTTTTTCTTTCTCCCTTTCTCCTCCTAAGCCTTGAGTTATCCCTTGCTACTCACCCTCTTCCTATTAAACACATATAGATCTTCATCTGTCCACAGCACTTTCATGAGGCCCGCTGTGAATCCAGCTCTATGGCACATTCATCTCACTTGTTTGGATAGCTAATTCTTTTGGATGAAAATTGCCTTTTCTCTCTCTTTCTGTTTCTTTTTTGCTCTCTCTCTCTCTCCCTTGCTGCCGGTAACTGTGGTTAATGGTTGTGGTAAAAAGAAACAAAAACAGCTGTAATTGATAATGAGAATCAGACTCTGCATGTGAGGATCTCAGTTGAGCTCCTTCTCTCGGACGGCCAGACGGGCAGCTCTGCCAAGCAGGACCCTTCCCAGAAGGATGTCAAGGGTGGAAAACTGATCTGCAGAGTGTTAGAGTATCATTTCCTAATAGAATAATGTGTAACTAGCACATTACTTTGGACTGTTTGGATGAAATTATGCAAAACATTGTCAGCACTCAAGCGTAAGCATGCCTTCAGCTTGTTAGCTGATTTAAAGGAGGGTTTCAAATGTGTTGATGTCTTCTTTTGGTGTTGTTAACATGCATGGTGAGAGGAAG